TATGGATGTAATTCTGCGATTCTAAATAGGCCATACCAGATGCAATCTGAGCTGACATATCTATAAGTTGTGGTAATTTCAATTTTCTACCACCACCTATAATGATATATAACACAAGAGTTAGTCTATGGTGACCATAATTGTGGCTGTTACAAACAGCATGGCTCAGAGGTGCAAATAATGACTTGTACCACGGTAGTCCGATTAAAATGCGAACAAATGTGAACTTGGGTTTGCCCAATTGCTGTCAGTGGAAGTATACATTTGCATAACTGCGGTGATCACTAATCAGTATGTGACAAAACTGTGGCTGATAACAAATCTACGTAGAGACAAAGGACCAAGTGTGGAGTTACGGAAATAACCACACAGCCAGAACCGATAGGTCACATGACAAGAGTGATAAAATAACTACAAGAATACCACACAAAAACAAACGTAGTACAATGATAACACTGACTGATGTGTAGATGTGATGCACAAATACAGAAACCATCTTTAACACTTACAAACCATTCACTAACATTTCCAGACACGTCTACACAAGTCTTAACTTATCCATTGGCTAAACATAAATGATCTTTTTATTATTTATCATAGATTTATCAGACATGTTGGACACGGGCAGAACAGCTCTCAACTCAGTTATACATTTGCATTATATTGGTCATCAATTACCAGTGAGAAAATTTGTTGGCTCGGCTTAGGGGAACAAAGTGACCACCTGGTGGGAATGCCTTGCATGATCCCACCAAGACTAATGACCTCCTTCCAAAGAGGTTTTCAAGGATAACTCAGTATGCTGATTTCATACCGACCACATATTTACCAACTATAAGTCTGGCTACTACTATGCCTACAATGTCTAAACTTCTCACACATGTTCATTTGAGACATGGTTTACAGTAGTACTGGTTTAATGTAATTACTATAAAGGCAGTAATTCTCACTTGGTTTTAATTTCATGACTTTCACTGCTAAATTAAATCTGTGCGAACATTTCAAGTAACAGAACTCATTGTTTCACTGGCAAATGAGTGAATTTCAAACCCAGTGAGTTTCTCCAAATATCAAAACAGTGAAACCAGATTCTTTTACAGAAAACAAACTCTGTATTTTTCATCATTATATACATATCACACCAGCAGTGAATGCCTAAATTGCACAGATCAAGTAATCAACTGAAACTGATATAGTGCTCTCCGCAGACCAATCATAAATATGATGGTGCAACTTATGGAATAAAAATAATCAAACAACCCTTTCACACTGTAATAATTTCAGGCAAGACCAATTTTCAAAGTAAGTGAAAACTGTGAAATCCTGCAGCAGGGAAAATTTCTCGGGGTTCCTACATCACTGAGTATGAGCAACTTTCGCGTCATTTTGTAATCATGGAACTATAAAATCCTGAAACAGCGAAAAATGTTCAGTAGAGACAGTTTAAAGTATGTAAATTAGCTGAACATTTTACTGGAGAGTAAATTTTTACAGCTAATTCAGCAGAACATGGATTACTACTAACAAAGACTCAGTATTTTGAATGTAAAATGAATGACCAGAAGCAGAAACATAGTATTATTATTATTGCTGTTGACATCTATGAAGATGATACGATAGAAAATAGACATGCAGGAATGGTATCAAGATAAAAATAGACTAGTATGTTCAAATTTCATCCAAGAACTATTTTTAATAACAAGTTTTCAATAACACTTTTAATAAACAAATAAAAATGCAATAATTGTTGCTTGAAAGCAGCTGGGGAGGACATATGTTCAGAATTTTCAGAAGTCATGTTTTTTTGTTTCCTTGTAATTAACAACTCAATCTGTTAAAGGTAATATGTTAATCTCGAAAACAATTGTTTTTAAATATGCCCTTGTATGGCAATAAGCAATCTTTTCACAGCATATCATAAAACTGTATTGATCAGCCTTTATTTCATTTCAAGAATTAGCATGTTGACATGCGTAATAAAATGAATGAATTACAAGAGAGAAAGAAACATACCTTGCAAGTAATCTAACAAACTACCATTGTTCATAAGTTCCGTTACAATATAGATTGGTTCCTGCAGAGTACATACTGCATAGAGCTGCACTAATTTGGGATGCCTCAGTTTCTTCATAATCTCAGCTTCTCGCAGAAAATCACTTGGGTCCATGGTTCCTATACAAGGAAATACACACACACACAAGTAAGTGTATCATCAAATCCTAGTCTAGTCATGTTAGGAAAATGCTAATAATACTAAGTTGTGGCAGAATATACGCAGTGATGATTAGCCACGCTTATCCACTTGAAGTAAAAGGCATGCGGACAACAGTAAAGATAATCACTTCAAGGGCAGTTGTTGTGCTGCACATTGGCGAAATATGTATTCGCTATTAACAAAGTTAGCAACTTTGATTGTTGCACAGGTACAAAAAACATATATACACTATGAAGGTTTAATTAATTGCCGAGATGAGCACGACTATCCAAAGCACTCAAGAACCAAGATGGCATTCATGTATGTATGTTTGTTTCGCTGGGAATGGAATATCTTGTCAAAATAAATCAAAGATTATGTCTGTATTATACAAGTTATGTAATTTGTTGCTTTCTACAGGGCAGAAATCTGTTTCCACCATATTGGATTTTGCAAAGGATCATGGGTTGAAAATTGACCCACAGAGGGCGCTTCGAAGGAGGGATCTCGTATCTGTGCTAACACCAACTGTGAACCTCTTGTTTTCAGGCAACGTAAGTTTTTTTACGACTGTGTTCAAAATGCCATTTTAAATCTCTACTAGTAAGTATTCTGTTGGAACTCAAGCTGTGAAGAAAGTTTCAAAATCAGAGAGCTAACACTAAAGTAGTGTCAATAAGTGGAGTTAAGGTATGTATGTATCAGATTTGATGAGATGCAACAAACAATATCAGAGTGGATTATTCAACCAACAGCCACGAAAAGTATGCAAGGCAAAAATATGCTAGCTTCTTGAGGTTAACCTTCCAACCCTATGACATGAAAGCATTTTTTTTATTTAGTGTCCACCTTTGTTCCCACTCAAATTTGGGTAAATTTTTGGTAATTTTTTACTGAATTAAATTTTAATTTTGTACTAGACAAACAAAATGTGACATTGCTTCTAGTATTTGATAGACAAATTTCATTTGGAAGAGCAGGGACTATGAAATGTAACTATTTTGTGGATGGTGCCTGAAGTTGACTTTGGCGTGCAAAAGGTTAAAATGACCCAAGTAAATTATTTTCCACGGAACATTACACAGAAGCCATGTTTGTCTTACTGCCACAAACTAAATTTACCTTTTCTCAGTTGTTTAACAGCAACAGGTGTAGTAGTATTCCAAAGTCCTTCAAAGACATCACCAAACTGACCAGAACCTAGTTTACGTATTGTCGCCAGCGATTCTCTAGGTATTTCCCATTGATCTACTGTATTATAAGACATGCCCGCCGTCTGAGGCTTCTCCATCTAGGCAAAAAGAATCATTTTTGGTCATTAAGTAAGGAAATCATTAAACTTGTGTAAAACAAAAGCTAACAGTATTTTGAAGTATTTGTTATTATATTCACAATATTTGCTGTTGTACTCAACAAAAAGGCTTAGCACAAAGAAAATGTTATTGGCTCAAAGTTTCCCTTGGAAGAGTTGTAAGCAGAAATTTTCATATGATATTCATAATGCTTCTCATCATGGAATCAACAATGGCATGTACTCATTAGCATAGAAACTCAAATAATCTTACCATAACACATGGCTTCCTCAAATTGACACATAGCCCATCTGGTACTCGACTGTAGTGCTGTACCATTTCACTAAGCGTTGAAAACGTACACCGACGAGCGATAAAATAACCACCTTCATCTAGCTGACGTATCCTATAGTGTTTAACAGTATCGCCATCTCGTACTGAAAGAAATAGACAAACAAGACCAATATACTGTAAGCCAATTTTGTGAATCCAGAAAACTGATATTGTTAGAGCAGTGAAGATTTCATTGGGATGGTTAAAAGTACAATATCTTTCCCATTAGTAACATGAAATTGGGGAAATCACTAGACATCTACATGGATCCGAGGGGATAAAATTATATATGGCAGTTGCAGTGTTCTTCCCAGGTAAACAATTCAATCATCTAATTAATGTGTTAATGGGATTCATTTGTCCTATTCGTTTTCAAAAACCTAAGCCTTAGAGAATCTTCAGGAGAATGAAGAAGAGAAATTCAGCATCTTTTGAAAAAATGTCATCCTCACTAATATTCTCATTTAAAATGGAGAAAATTGACAGCGATGAAAATAAAGAGATTACAATTCTCATTTTATTGCACAAAACACCACTAAATAAATGCATTAATTATTGACTGGATAAATTTCTATTTCTATAAATTTTCACTGATAAATAAAATCCGCTAAATTAAATACACTTGAACCTGTGAAATGATGTTACAACTCCTTCACAGGAAATTTATGGATTTACAACCCAGTGAATATACTTCAGGGGTTGCATTAGTGTTCGATAATGTGGAGTCCCTGGGACCCACCCCTTATAAAATGTGTGGGTCCCTTAAAAATATGTGGGGTCCCTGCCGCTACCGCACTTTATTTTTCTAAAATAGTTTGTTGCACGAACTATTA